GCTGCCCTGGGGGACGCGGCCTTCCAGGAATCACTGCCTTCCAGCGCCCCCCTCCCGGTTGCCGCTGTGGGGCCCCGTGTGAGTGGGTGGAGGCGCTGGGTGGCCGGGTCTCCTCCGGGCAGCCTCCAGCCGGGGGCCCAGGCCGCAGCATCCTTACCTCGCAGTGCTCTCCAGAGCCCTCCACCTGGTGGGTAACGGACCGTCCCGCAGCGGCCCGTTTGGCGACTTGGGTTCACCCTCTGGGTCTCGCGGTGCCATCAGCCCCTTGGCATCCTGACTTCACTCGAGCAGGTGCCACCTTACCCAGGTGCAGGGGGCCTGCCTTGGCTCTGGGGCGCTCAGGGGGGGGGCTTGGTGATCACCCTCCTCATACTCAGCAGTTCCTGTTCACAAACAGGCACGGAGACCACATGAAGGGCCATCCTGCTCTGGATTCCTTTCTTTCCCTCTCTACCTTTCTCTTGTGATACAGGCGGATCCTTTGTCTTTGCCAATCTTCTAATAATAAACAGCTCTTCTCCCTCTGCTGACCCGAGGCCTTCTGTTTTGGTTCCTCCTTTAACCCATTGGAGCACAGAGCTTTCCACCAAGGACCCCACGAATGAATTTTTATTGATAAAAGCACAGAATCATTGGCCTTACTTAGCTGGAGCCTGAGAAGGCATTCAGGCCACCCTTCTGCCTTGGGGCTATTTTCTGTTTCCTCCTGCTTTCCATATTCAGAAACAAAAATAAGTAATAAAGAATATCTTGCGTCAAAGGGGACCGTTCAGAACTTCCCCTAAAATTCCCTTCTGGGTTGGCAGCTTAGGGTTTCAGCATGCGGGGCCCTGTTGCCAAAATTTCCTTCAGCTCTGTCTCCGGAGCCCATGCACTGGGGGCTGGGTGGGGGAGAGGTGCGTCCAGGTGGCACAGGCTTGGGTTTGGTACTGGGCCTCCCTCCCTCCCCAACATGCTCCAAATGCTTGGGATGGTTGTGGGCATCACAGGCCGCTTGGGCTCTTCAGCCTGGAGTGGACTGCTTTGCGCTTGGTTTGGGCTTCTTACCCTTTATCTCCCATGGGGGTCCAGATCCCCCCAGGTCTTAGGCTCTTGGTGTTTCCCCCAAGGGACCCCAGAAGGGCCGCTGCTGCGGCAGGCTTGAGGTCCCTGAGTCCCCAGACTCAGCCTCTGCTCCCTACTCTCCTCTCCCATACTGACCCACGCCCACCACAGGTACATTTTTTTTTTTTTTTAAATGATGAAGCTTGTTGTAGTAGGTGGAGGTAGTAGAGTTTATGGGGTGAGAAGGAATAAGCTCACTTAAAAGTAGGCTCTGTGGCTCCTTATGTTTACCTAAAGGGGTGGGGCCCCCATACAATGGGCAGAGGGAGGGCCTGGGCCCTTTCGAGTTTGTTCCCCACCTGGCAGTGATCCCAGGCCCGCCTGGTGACTGGGCTGCACTTGTATGGGTGGCACTGCTGGGCAGAGGGGCTCTTGGTCCTGCGGTGTGTGTCCTGCCTCCTGGATCCACCCTGTCCTGAGTGAGGGCACGTGCTGGCATCAGACTGGTCCCTGAGCAGCCACCAAGGCTGTGAAATTAAGGAAAGTAGCACAGAATGTTAGAAATCTCCCTCGTCTGAGAATCCAAGGGCAACCAGGAAGGATTTTATTTTTTCCCCTAGACTGAGTGGGATTAGAGCTTCTGGACCTATTTATGGACTTGGAAATACACGGAGTGGTCAGCATGCTGTTCCCAGCAGCGCCTCTGAATTTTGGCCCAGAGTGAGAAGTACACCGGGCTGACTGGGCACGCGTTACATGGTGGGGATACACGTGGCCAGTGCTGGACAAGGCACTGAGCTGGCAACAAGAGGTGGGGTGCAGGTGTGACCGGCTCACTGCCCCCGTCTGCCTCCCACACGACGAGCTGCAGATGCGCGGGAGGCCAGGAAGAGGTGGAGATTTTAGGGGGAGGCGAGATGGAGCTGGACCTCAGGGAAAGAGGGATCGAGCGGTGGAGAATGAAAGGCTCTTCTAGCCGAGGTAACAGGGTGCAGAGGCTGGGGCGGGGTTGGGACAGACTAGCTGGCAGCCCTGTGGCTCCAGGCTTTTTCTCTGAGGCACCTCACTCATCCCCCCAGTGGGGCAGGGTCACAGCAGGTTTTGGGTAGTGTGGCCCAGTGGCCACGTGTGTGTGCCTAGAGCCACCAGGGCTTTGGAACAAAACCTCAGGCTGCTGCCTCCTACCGTGGGGATGAGGTCCTCAGCCTCATGTATCTCGTTTGCTCATTTGTTAAATGCGGTGATGCTAAGTTGCTGTGGAGTTAAGTGGCACTGTACGCGAATAGGCTTGGAAATCCCTGCTCCGTGACTTGTCGCCACTGTCGTGGCGATTGATGGGGTGGAGGGCTGTTTCACCCAGGAAGGATGTTCCATGAGCTTCCTGGCCTCCCTTTGCCCAGCCCGGCCCCTTCACATCCCCTTCCCTGTCCCTGGACTTGGAGCTTGGGCCTCTGGTATTCGTGGGTCCCATGGAACCTCCCTGTCAGTGTCCTGGCTTCCCTGCCCATCCCCAGTGGTAGGTGGCAGGGGACTGAACTGAAGCCCAGCAGTCCCTGAGATGGGGTGATTGAGTGGGCCCCTGGGGACCACTCTGGGGTCCTCTGTGGGGGTCAGGAGGCTCCTGAAGGGCTGCCAGCCCAGCTTAGTGCTCTGATGTGAAGGAGGCTGCACCCAGAGGATGCAGCTCAGGCAGGACAGGACCCTGTGCGAGACTGTCAGTGAGGACGCGGGACTCCAGGACCGACTCTCGACTCTTGGGAGAGCGGGAAGAGCCAGGACAGTGCCCTTGGAGCACTTCTGAGTCAGCTCCCCCGGTGACAGGGCAGGAAAGGCATGAACCAGGGCTCCTGCCTCTTCTCCACTTGCAGCTCTGTGCCTGTTCCTGCTACCTCTTGTCCAAGCTTGTTTGCTCTGGTGCATCCAGAGGAGCTGGCAGGAGAGAAAGAGCCTACCACTGTATTCTGTGGCTCCCTGGGACTTATGCCACTCCAAGGCCCCCAGCTGTGGGAGCCGGCTGAGCCCAAGTCCTGGGCACAGGCATGGATGGCAGGCCTCCCACTCTGCCCACTCGTGATGGCCAGCCTGCCCTCCAGCCTCTCACCAGCCTCCTGAGGGGGTCCGAGAGCTGAGTGTGGCACACCTGGGCTGGGAAGCCCTGTGTGACTAGTGCAAGCTAAGGCAGGGGCACAGGGGACATGGGATGGTCACTTAGGAGCAGCAGTCTGGAGTCCACGTAGGGCGATCAGGGGCCCTGCATGTGTTCGGAGTTCCCAGGTAGGAGTCTGCAGAGATGTGCTACTGCAGATCCACAGAAGGAGGCTTTGCTGGTCCTCTCTTGGTCCGAGCCTGCCCACTTGGGGGCTGTCCTGCCCATCCCAGGCTGCCCTGAGGGCCCCACACGGCTGGACCAGAGGCAGTCCCTTGTTCTGCATGCTTGTCCCTGGGCAGTGTTGCGTGGGCTCTGCAGTTTGCTTAAGATGTCCCCGATAAGGAAAGTTCAGGACACACCAGGGCAAGCTGGGCCTTGAGCGGACCCTGAGCAGCAGATCCTGGGTGGATCCAGCTGGCCCTGGGGCTGTGGGAAGGGAGAGGGCTCCTGATTAAGGTCCCAGGCCCCAGGGGTGTGAGCCTTTGGGGTGGGGAAAGAGGTGACTAGCTGGCTTCCTCTACCTCTGTTTGTTAGGGCTGTTACCTTAGAAACCTCCCAGGCTAGGCTGTTGTCAGGGGATTAACAGGGGACCAGGGGTGAGGCGAAGCTCCCAGGGTCCTGTAGGAAGCACACTGATTATGGCCTCACTGTGCTGAGGGTCTTCTGGAGAGACGGCCAGCAGATCCCCTTGGTAACTGCCAAGGGTCTCCTGATCTGGAAGCTTGGACTAAAGGGACCAAAGACAGCTTGATGGGTGCAGAGGCCATGTTGTCAGGTGCTGAGTCCCATGACAGTTGGATCCTGAATGCAGTGAAGTGTCCTGTGGCAGGTAGGCTGGTCACCCCTGACCCTTTTTCTGAGGGGACAGCTGTGCCCGGTCTCCTGAGGTCCTGTCCCACTTTGACTCTTTGTGTGGATTCATTCATTTGTTCCAGAACCATCTGCAGGGCACTGCTGAGTGCCAGGCTCTGTGCTGGCTGCACCCTCTTGGCACCGGCTCTCCAAGGTGGCCTGGCCTTGGGTCCCTGAGGGGAGTGGCCACTCTACTCAGCCCAGTTTCTCTCTGCCTTATCTCCCTCACCCCACTCTGGGCCCAGGCCCATTCGTAGCCGCTCTGAAGGGGACACTGAGCGGCTATCGCAGAGGCGATGGCAGCTCCCTGGGTGTCCTGCTTGTCAGTGACCTCTTGGCAGCATTGCAACAACTGAGCTCTGTCCCGGGCCTCCTCTGACCTGGTTCTCCAAAGCGTGACAGTTGGCATCCTGAAAGCCTCCAGGACAGGAAACAAGAGCAGCACAAGGAGCAAAAGACAATCCCAGCTTTGGGTCACAGGGTCGCCCTTGGACCTGGGCTGCTTGCCCTCTCTGGCAGGGACCCAGGTTGTCTTCCAGCCTCAGCATCCCCTGCATGCCCTGGAGTGCTGGGGTAGGGAGAGGAGGGCCTGAAAGATCGATCTTTCCTGAGCTCCTCCTACGACACTTGCTGGGCTTTGGAAGGAGGGGCCCAGGCAGGCACCTTTGTTCCTGGTGGTGGACATGGCTCTGGTCTCTTCCAAGGTGGGCTGTGTTGCCCTCTTCCTGGCTCCTGGGGAGGCCTTGTCTACTTCACTAGGCCCCTGGTGAAGCCTAGGCCATGGTTGGGGCCCTCTGGTCCCCCTAGCACTGCATCTGGGAGCCAGGAAATGGGTCACTGCAGCCCAGGAAGCCCCTGAGCACTGTGTCCGGGGACCTGGTCCTTCTGGGCCAGGCATGTTGGGGCAGCGGTGACTGTTTGCCTGATCCAAGCTGGGCTCCAGGTAAGCGCAGTTACCTGGGAGGGCTGGGCCAGGAGACCTGGCAAGCCGCCGGGCCTTGTGCTGCAGATCAATGGGTTCCGCATCCTGGGGCCTCTTTTCACAAGCTTCCCATAAATTATAGCTCCTGTTTCCATCAGGATCAGCTCCCAGCCGGGGGATAACACTCTGTAACCCAATCCACTTGGAAGTGGGTTAAATCCAACCTTTGTCATCTTCCAGCCTGCTAAAGACTCAGCATAGAGGGGCGGGGGGAGCCATCTGCAGAATTCACTAACAATTCCATGCTTGGGCCCTGCAGCCCTTAGGGTCCAGTGTGTGTTGGGGGGAGGTGGTCCAGGCAGTGTAGACACCAAAGGGGTACCAGGGTTGGAACGAGAGCCAAGTGGCAGCATCATGGGTGTGGGGGAAGAAGAGGAGGAAAAGGAGGAGGAGGAGGAGGAGGAAGAGGAGGAGGAAGAGAA